GATCCGAAATACTTTCGTTTCGAAAGAAATTTTATTTTTTATCAATATTTCTAAAAATAAAACCATAAAAATTTAATAGTAATTATACTGAAAATAAAAATTCATTATAAACATTTTGGGATTTAAAGATGTTAATTTTTACAATTAAAATCAGTCTGGCAAACAAATTTTCTTTATAGTCTTCAAAATGTCGTTTGGCGAAAATGTTTGTTTCGCAAGTGCGACTTCCGAAACCGCTACTTTCGTAAGTTGCAAAATAGTTTTGTTTCGTATGTCAACTTGCGAAATGCTAAATTTCGGAAGTAGCTTTTGCGAAATGAACATCGGCGATTTTAAATGTTTTGTAACATTCGGTACGAAAAAATGTAATTTCGCGTTTTCAATCTCCTTACAAAAGAATGTTGTTTTTCCGGAATTGCACGAAATCCTCCGGTTAACAACCCTAGTTCTTGGTTTGTTTCATAAAAAGAATTCTTCGGCAAACGGCAAAGGGAAAACCCAAACATAACATTTATAACTGATTTTAAAAGTATTGACGTCATTTATTAACTTGTAGTTATAAAATGAATAATGCGCTTCTGAAAATAATGAATGAAACTGTGAAATAATGGAAAAATAAAAACTGGAAAATAATGCGCTTTTGTTAAGCGCATTATTCAGAACTTACCTGAAACTTAACTAAAATTAAAATAAAGTTATATGTAATACGAACATTTTAAAGTTACTTAAATTCAATTTATTAAATCTTTTTTTACTTTGGTAATTTTATCATTAAAAAAACGGAGCATTTTAAAATTAAAAAATTTTAAAATGCTCTGTTTTAAAATTAAATGAAAGAATTTTAATTAAATTTAATAAATTTATTTACTAAAAACTATAATCATTAAAAAAATATTTAAATTTAATAAAATAAATTGAAAATATTTCTTTTTTTAAATTTGATTGTTTATAAACTTATGAAATCTAATATTTAAAATTAAATATGATGAAAAGTTTAAACTTAAAACACTTTATTTTCTTTAAGTAATTTTTAAAAACAAAAAAAAAATTATTAAACAAATTGTTTTTTTAACAAAAAATCTATTAGTTTACAATTGCGGTTAAATGCTTTTACTTACGACTTTAATACTTCTGAATGAACGTCACATAAACGATATAAAAAGATAATTTAAATATTCTAAAAGATAAAAGTTTTTGCGTAACGCATAACTGCTGAACGCGTAGGCAAATCGCCTTTTCGCAGGCAAAATGCGAGCTGCGTAACGCTTCTTAACAAGGCCTGAAGATATTTTTGTAAGTGAAAAAGAAGGGGAACTTTCACAGCTGAATTTAATGAATATTACTCAAAATTTGTTGATCTAGATCCAAATGATATCAGCTACGAAATGATATTGAATACATTAAAAAATCTTAATCAAAATAAAGCATGTGGTTCTGATAATATGCATCCATTTCTGCTCAAAAACTGTGCTAAAGCATTTGCTTTTCCTCTAACATTAATTATTAGGGCATCTTTAACTAACAGTCAGCTTTCAGTTCAATTTAAATCAGCGAACGTAACGTCCCTATTATCGTCTGCAATTATCGTCCAGTTTCATTGACTTCTATTCCATGTAAAATTATGGAAAGTGTAATTAGAGCTCTAAAATGGAAGAGCAAAAGAGCAACATGGTTTCTTTAGAAACAAATCATGTACCAATAATCTTTTAGAAAGTATTGACTACATTTCATCAAGCTTAGATATTGGTATTCCACTTAATGTAATTTTGTTAGATTTTGCTAAAGCCTTTGACACAGTTCGGCACAGGAGACTGTTAGCCAAACTAAAAGCATACAGCTTTGATAGTCTGAACTTAAATGAATCACAGCTTTCTTAGAAAACAGAAGACAAAAAGTTGTTCAAGGTGAAATCATTTCTGACTGGGTTAAGATTTTTAGTGGTGTACCACAAGGTTCGGTAATTACAGCACTTTTATTTGACTTATACATTAACGACCTTCCAAAAAAAACTGCTTAATGTCACCAAACTATATGCTGATGATACAAAATTGCTTTCTCAATTATCATCAGAGCTATGCACTACTAAGCTTCAAAATGATCTAGATATTGTCGACCTAAAATGGAAAAATCAAGTGATTAATACTTCTAACAAAGCAAATCAAATGCTTGGTCATATCAAAAAATAATTTGTTTGTTTTGATTATAAGTTACTTCGTTTGCTTTATATTATTTTTGTTCGTTTATTACTGGAGTTTGCAGTTCCGGTATGGTCTCCAATTCTTAAATCAGATTGTGACTATATAGAAAGAATCCAGCACAAAGCTACTAAACTAGTTTCATCAATCAGAAATTTTTTCTATACAAGAAGACTTGAAGAATTAAACCTAACTACACTAGTAGAAGGGGACAAAGAGGAGATCTAATATAAATGTATAAAATTAAGAATAATATTCATACAATAAAAAATGGCATTCGCTTTCCAATTGTTAACAATCATACAAAAGGTTACTGCTTTAAAATTTCTATGAAATTGAAAAAACATAAGTACAGAGAAAACTTCTTCTTCAATCGAGAAGCTAATTTATGGAGAAGAAATCACCTTCAGTTAACATCTTCAGTAAAATCGCCTTCAGTCAACAGCTTTAAAGCAGCAATTGATTGCTGGATGAGCAGCAATTGATCATTTCGGCTGTCAAAGTGTTCCTGATAACACACTCATATATATATATATATATATATATATATATATATATATATATATATATATATATATATATATATATATATATATATATATATATATATATATATATATATATATATATACAAATATATATATACATATATATATATATATATATATATATATATATATATATATATATATATATATATATATATATATATATATATATATATACAAATATATATATACAAATATATATATATATATATATACATTTATATATATATATATTTATATATATATATATATATATATATATATATATATATATATATATATATATATATATATATATATATATGTATGTATATGTATATGTTTATATATATATGTATATGTATACATATTATATATATATATGTATATGTATATATGTTTATATATATATATATATATATATATATATATATATATATATATATATATATATATATATATATATATATATATATATATATATATATATATATATATATATGATAAAAAATATTTTGATATTAAACCCCAAATTTTTTTTGTGGGTAAATGTAAAAGGAACTTGGAAACCTTCAATAGTAATCATTCTATTGGTATTCACACAGGACTTGTGATATTAGTATCACAAGTCCTGTGTTGCAAAACATGTCATATTCAAAAAAGAAAAAGGCTCTAAGGAAACATTTTGTTCAGACACAAACAACATAAGTTTAACACTTAGGTTGTTTGTGTCCAAACAATACAAGTGTGAACCCATGGGCATTAATTTTACATTTTCTAGATTTAGTAATTTATCCATTTAATGAATCTCTTAATGCTGTAATCTAAAGGAAAATCTTTTTGAAGTAGAAAAACTCTCAGAAAGATTTGTACAAGTCATGTTGTTATAAAGTTTAAAAGTTATTTTTAAAAAGATAATAGTATAACTATATAACTTTATATAAAACTTATAAAAAAAGTTTATGAGAAGTAACAATAAAATCTACTTAAAATAATGTAATAACTAAATTAATAATAATTAAAAAAAAAAAAATAATTAACATAAATTAATATGAAGTAGTTGTATGACTTTCATTCAATCAAATCATACCATTCATTCATTCGTTCATTTATTACAGCAAGTAACAAATATAACTTGTTACTTTAAATCGGTTTCCGATTTAAAATATTAAAATAGTTATATAGGTTTAAATTTTGTTTTTAAATTTTTAAAACTTCTTTAATACATATCACACTATGTAATATTTATTAAAGGAAGCATCACTTTTTTTTATTTGTAGAACATTAGATTTTAATTTCTTGATATCATAGTTTGTTTTTAAAAGTTTATCACATTACAATTTAACAATATTACTTCTGCTATATTTCTTCAGACAGCTGTTGCAATTTCATTTACAATGTTAGTCTGTTTTTCATGCTTATTCTATAAATTCAAATAGTGGCTAATTACTACTTACTGCATAGCTGTTAGAAAATTGATAAAAATTTGGTTTGTTATGCACAGTTGTCATTTTTAATGAGGATATTTGAACATAATGGAATATTTTCATGTAATGTTTTTCTCCTACAAATTAACTCTGAAAGCAACCACTATTGCCAGCAATTACTATTTAAATTAAAAAAAAACTCTATGTCTTGCCAAAAGTCATCACTTTTTGATCATTTAAAACAAGCAGCCAATCAAAAAAACTAGCAGCCATTCTTAAATGCAATTTCTTTTGTGACAATTTCGGGTTTTCAGTGTCTGATGAATTTTAACCCAAAAAAAAACTGGTTTACTGCTTTAATTATCATAATATATTTGATGTTTCTATATTAATTAATAGCAGCACTTTGACTGAGTACTATACTTATTATTACTACTGATTTCTCATGGAAACTCCATTGCTAAGTTAGTATATGTTGAGTTTGCCTCTTCTAATTTTGATTTCCATTTTCCTAGTTCCTGATTTCATTCTCTATCTTTATTAAAGAGTTCTCTTGTTTTCAGGACAATTTACAATTTTTTCTTCTGTTTTCATACGATTGTATGAAAACAGAAGAAAAAAGAAGAACTTTCTTACTCTTTAACTTTTTTCTTTGTTCCCAGCTTTTTTTACTCCCAGGTTTTAAAACCCTTTTTTTTTTCTTTTAACTTATTTTCCAAGTAATTTTTTCTAAAAGTATTTTCTGAGTTTTTGTAATGTAAACCCAGAAGCTCAGTGTGCACTTTTATTTAAATGAAGACCTAAAGTCTAATGAAAATAAAGCGTTAACTTTTATTTTTAAATTTTTTTAGATTCAAAAGAGATTAACTCCGAGTTTAATTTCATCTTGAAGAACCTCTCAAATAATCAAAAATCTTTAGTAGCTGATATTAAAGACCCAGATAGTTGTTTCAAACCATTTGACTATAATAGAGTCAAAATAAATAACTCTGATAACACTGACTACATAAATGCAAGCTATATAGATACTTTTCTGAAAAAAAAAGCTTATGTTGTCATAGAAACACCTAAACCTCAAAAGATTGAATCATTTTGGCAAATGATTATTAAAAAAAAATTGTGGGTTGTGATACTATTTAGTGAAAAAGAAGATGAGGTAAAATTTCTCTTCTATAATAAATAATTTATATTAGCATCAGTATATTATATTTGAATAATAATAATTTATTTACTTTTATAGGAACTTGAATGTTTTTTGACAGATACATTGTGTAATAACTTCTCTTTAAAGTTGATATCTGAAAAATCTAATATTGAAAAGTGTTTCAAAGCTTGGTGCTTACTTTTAACTTTAAAGGTAATAAAAAACATAAATTGTTAATTTATATTATATAATTTATATTAATTTACATAAATTGTTCATGTGTACCCTATAATTTAGAATTTTTTATTTTTTATCAAAAGCACTATTTGGCTTCAGCATGAAGTTTTTTAAATTTGGCGCAACTTAATCTTAAATGTTTTTTAAGTTAATTTAGTAAGGCTTTGTGAAGATGAAAAAGGAAAAGCTTTGGATTATTAAAAACATAAGTATAGAGGAGTATTTTTATATGAATAGAATTGATATGAATTTAGTAGCACATGAAATGTTAAAGGGTTTGGGTTACACAATTATTGTATCTGGGCACACTGTATATGTATGATGGCCACTATATATGTATGATGGCCAAAAATTGAAAACAACTCAGCTAATGTGAAATTAAAAGGAAAATAAGGAAAAATATATTCTGGATTTTTTCCAATTATTTTATCCAAACTTTAACAATTTTTCGTATTTTTAAAATTTGACTTGGATAATCTATAGTTTGTGCATGTGTGCATGATTACAATGTTATGATTTTAAATTAAAAATTAAATGTTTATCTGTTATTTTATTATTTATATTTGATTTTAAAAGGCATAATTAGTTAAATCTCATTAATAGAATGGGGGGGGGGCTAAGATTTTTTGCTTTCACATCTGACCATATTTGACCTCATTTAAAAAGTTTTGTTTGCTACTTTCTTTGTATATTTCTCTTATCTACTTTCCTTGCATATTTTTTTTTAACATTAAAAAGTGAATTTTAAGTTTGAATTTTTAAAAGTTGAGATTAAGACTTAGTTATTCCAAATTACTCAGCAAGATATTGAAAATAACTTTTATTGTAATTTTGACAGTGAAAATATTCTTTTGAACAGAAAGTTGAAGAGTACCTCCAATTACAAAACCAGAAACCTAAAAAACTAAACACTTAGCAAAAACCTTACATCAGCTAATGTTACAACTTATATATATGGTGAATGAAATTACTAATAAGTTAAATTTTAAACTTGAAAAAACTTTGCATCTTAAACTTTGAAACAACTTTGCATTTTAAACTTTGCATTTTAAAGGAGCCTTGCAAAGTCTCAGTCTACATCCATAATGATACCTTCAAATTCGCATATTGTTTGAACAGATTTAATCTTTAATAATAAATTTTTTTGTGACGCATGAGCATTTAATATTTATGAGTTTTGATAATTTGATATATTATGATTTTTATTTATAAAACAAAAAGATTGAGATTTTACTTCAATTACTAAAATTTTTGTTTTTCATTTTATTTTTGAAGTGAAACAAGTTTCTTATATAATCATCTCCATAATATATTTCCTCAGGTGCAATATAAAATATATCTCCATAATATATTTTCTAAGGTGTTATAAAATTGGTGTTTCCTTACAATTCTTGACGTCTTTTTGGAAAGGGAATTATATATGACTGTAGTTTGCGCTTGTATTGAATATATATATATGTTTTTTGTTATTCACCTCCTCAAGGCCGACAAGGCCACTACAGATGAGGAGGCTACTTAATAAAGGTTATAACCCTCTCGCAACTCTATAACTCCGAAACATAAACCAAGGCCGCTGTGCAGAGAAACAAGTTGTATATAGTCAGTTTTTATTAAGGAATCAAGGTTTTTGGTTATATTTATTGATAATCTGCTACAAATTAGACTCATAAATTATACATAAGAAAAGTTATAGTTAAAAAAAAATTAATTCAAAAATTAAGGTTATGATTTTTTGTTGTGAAGTATATGCTGTTGAGATTTTTGAATATATTTTATTATCATATTTTTTTGTGTCAAATTTTTCTGTGCTAAACTCTCCTGGGTCTTTTTAAAAATTCATTTTACAGATTTATCAGGATTCATTGTATAATAATAGTGTACATGTTTGTTATGAAAAAAAGTGAGGAGAGATCTTGCATGGTGGTGGGATTTAATTCTGATGGAATTTAAATAGCTTTTGCTGTTTCAATTAACCTAAGTTAAAAAAAAAGCTATTTTTAAACAAGAAAGAGGGTATTTATAATTTTTTGTTATGCATTGTTATTGTAATTTTGACTAGAGTAAAAACTTAGCAAAGAGTCTGCATTTTTTAAATCAAACATTAAAATCTCAAATGTTATCGTTTGTCTTTTTATAATGAGATGATGCATACTTTATTAAATGAATTTGCTATTATTTTATGAAAAATAAACACCTCAATATAAGAAGAATCAGACATGGCAAGAAAAAATGAGTACTTATAAAAGAAAATTAAAAAGATTACTTTAATATAAAAAGTTTTAAAATAAAGCATTTATGATGTTTAAAATAAAGCATTTATGATGTTTAAAATAAAGCATTTATGATGTTTAAAATAAATCATTTATGATGTTTAAAATAAATCATTTATGATATTTAGGAGAATATTCAGCTCTTTAAATTTGATAGAATTACATCAATTGTACACCAATTTATTAGCAGATTTTTTAAGTTAATGAGTTGCAACAATTAAATACAAACTTTTTTAAAGATTTTTTTTTTAATTTTTTTCAGTTCAGAAATGTTTACAACAACTAATTTTAAAGATTTTTTTTTGTTTATTAAAGTTTAATAAACAATTTATAACTTAAACTAAGTATTTTAAAAGAAAAACAATTTTTGTGAGTATTTATATAAAAAATGAAAATAATAAATAATAAAAAAAAATTAATTTAGTCAGACACGGAAGCATCAGAGGAGGCAGGTGAAGGAAAGTTAATTACATTCTATCAATATCTTAAATGGCCAAAATCCGAGAATCTTTCATTGGAAAACATTTCACATTTTCTCAACTTTGTTCAAGAATCTGAAGAAGAAAAAGTAAAACTTGATGCAAAAAGAATTTTATTAGTTTCAAGGTTTTTTATCATTTTAAATTTATATTTCTATATTAGAGCCATTCCTATGACCCTGTTACCGACCCATGTGTTTAACCTATCATCTTCTAAAAATAAGTATGTAAATCTTACATTTTCTTATTACCCTGTTCCCTTTTTTTAATGCTTATAGTTTTTTTTTTTTTTTAACTATTAATTTTTTGTTGCAGTCAAATTAAATTTTAAGTAGATTTTTGGATTTTTTACCACTAATTGATTTTTAATGGATGACAGTTATTAATTATAAATTTATAACTGTTAAAAGTTATAAATTTAGGTATAATGTTTAGGTATGATATTATTATGCCTGTGAAGGTTTTAGGTCCAACCTCATTACCAGCAACTTCTTGGTTTCTTTAACAGCATTACAATCATCAATTTTAAATAAAATTAAATTTTGTATAAGAAATTTTGTTTAAGAGCAAAGTTGCAAAAGATATGTATGTATATATATATATATATATATATATATATATATATATATATATATATATATATATATATATATATATATATATATATATATATATATATATATATATATATATATATATATATATATATATATATATATTTAAAATGGTTAAATTATTATTAGGTAAAGACAATAAAAAATTTAATAAAAAAAGATGTAAATAATAAGTTGCACATACATAAGTCTGATGTTAGTGTTAAGAGAAAAAGTAAACCAAAGTGTTGCGTATTACAAAATTATAATCTATTTAAGAGCCATTATCTGAGAAAAATAGGCAAAGTCTGGAAGTGATGTCTTTAAAATCTCTTTATTTTCAGATATCTTATAAAACACAATGAAATTAGGCCACAGTTAAATTTTTTTTCGAAAACTCTCATTATTTGCGGAGATATCGGGGGCCGAAATTTGGCCCATTTTGTAAAAATATTGGTGCATGAAATGGAATTACTACTTTTAGGGACAATTTTAGCAATATGAACTTGAGAAACACATTTCTTTTTCTTTTTTCTATTACTTTAGCTGGATTTCTCTGCTAAAAATAAAAATTCAAAATGTTTACACTTTTTGTTGTCTAGAAATCACGGTTCAAAACCGCTAAATTTGAAATTTTACCCGTACTTTGACCATTTATATCTCCTAAGGCCATTACTTGCACATAATTTACTTAACTGTTTTTGAAAGCCAATAAGGTATACATTGAATTTATAGAAAAAAAATTATAAGTATGCAAGAGCCTGAGAAAGAGTAAGATTCCAAAAATGAATTTTCGCGGTTAATACGCTTTGTTAGATTACAAATAACAATCGTGGCCTTAAGTCTGCCATGAAACGTATAAGTTATTTTGTTACCTTATACATGCATCTTCCAATATCTGAAAAAAAATCCATGTGCTCAAGCGATAAAAAGCCTAGAGAAGTCCTAGAAATAGTCTAATTTTGCCATATTCTTAACCAACAAAATACCCTAGCAACGACATAGATATGCTTAGCAACGGCTACTTTTACTCTATAATAGTTGGTACTCAAATTAAAAATAAATATAAAATACATTTTTATAACAAAACTGTATAAACTGTACAAAAGTGCTTGATAAAAATTATTTTTTAAGCTTTTTTAATGTAACAAAATGCGCAACAATAGGTTCAAAGAATGCGATGGCAAAAGTGTAATAACCAAAGTAAGGAAGTGACATTAAAGATACTTTTTTTAATGACTGTAATGATTGCTACACAAGCAATACCCTTTGGGCAGTCATTTGTAATACTTTCTTTAGACAATTATTAATGATTGCAAGACTATTTCCTTGGAGACACATTCTTCTCGAAGAATTAGCACATGAATTTAATAAATAGCCATAGCATGAGATGAGAAACTACGAAATAAAGTTTTTTTGTTTTGTTATCTTTTGTTTATTCAATAAAAAATAATAAAATAAAAAATAAAAGTTAAATACAAAATGTCAGAGAGCAACAATATAGTCAGTCTCTATGAAAAATGCGTGTATTTTGATAAAGGACAGACTTCTTGTGGCCCTTTTAAGCGTTAGAAACAACATGGGATCTTTCAAATTAATGAATTAACTGCTGACATTACAAGTACTAAAGGTATAATTTATCAATTAATATATATATTTTTAATTATAAGCAACAATACCTCCAACAAATAGATGACAAATTTAACATTACTATTTTATAGTTACCGCAGACAAACCAGTATAATGAAAAAACTCTAATTGAAAGTCGATTACAAACTTATCTTTCATGCGACGACTGGTTATGTGCATACCACCGTTTTTCTTTTGGTATTGGATGGAAGCCGCCAAACAGATGTCAATACCCAAGTCATATATTTCAAGTTGGTAAAAAAGCACCAAAAATTAGATTCATACCTTTGAATACCCTTGCTACTTATAATAAAAGTAATTCATCGCTACCTATTGGAGCCGTATTTTGCTTCAAGCACCTAAAAACTATATCTATAGATAATATTATTGACATGATAGAACCAATTCCAACAGTAAAGTCTAGTTCTTATGTTGATAAAGTTTATGTTCCAGATTTAGCAATCATTTCAGATAAGACCATCGAAGAATCAAAATTAAAAGCTAATTCTTTGTGTGAAGCACTAGGAGCAAGTCCACTGTCTTTTCACATAACGCAAAAGCGAATAGAAGACTTAACACAAGGAACTAAACAGAAAGTTAAAAAAAAATTTGCGAAATGTAAAGTGCAGTTCGAGAAGATATTTGCTGAAGCAATTGCACCTGGTCAATCAGAAGCACTTATAACCCAAGTATTAAACAGTAAAGATAAAAATGTTGCAACTGAAATGGTTCCAGAAGACCTAATTGTACAAGTTAAGATGTTCCAAGAAAGCGATTCTTCAGGAAAAATTCTTTTGCTTTCAGTTGTAAATCATAATAAGTACACTAAAGAGACATTAATGAAAGTCTTTGATTGCAAAAAACATCAAATAGAAAAAGGACGCAAGTTGCAGAAAGAAAACATTGGACTTTCTATACCAAAGAAGGGTAAGGTAAAAATATGCCGAATGCCTCAAGAAAAAATTGAACATTTTTTGGAATTTTTATTTTCTCGAGGTCTGCTTCAAGATGTAGCATATGGTATAAATAAAATAAAGTTTGACAACGGAGAGAAACAAAAAGTGGCTAATGCCATTTTGATGATGAAGTTTAGCCATACAATCACATTTTATAAAGAAATTTGCCTAGAAACTAATTATGTCCCTATGTCAGAGTTCTTTATGGAGAATTCTTTGTGGAATAAAACCTTCTCAAAGGAAATCTTTAGCTGGTCTTGATGATGTTACAGCAGCTGGCATGAACGGTTTCCAAACATTAATTGCCATTTCTGAGAAGTGGAAATATAAAAATGTTACTAAGTTTCTTAAAAAAGGTAAAAGGTATCTGAAGAGTAATTATCCTTCCAAATGTAGTGAAAATTCAACTTTGCATAGTCACTCAACTTCATTTGCCCTTTCGGATATAGATCCGGACTTAAACCAATCAAACATAACCGATGAACAATGCATTGACTGTACTGACCTCATTTCAGTAATCAATCAGGTTCGTGAGTTGGTTATACAAAGTGAAGATGAAGATCTACTATATGATTTAAATGTGGCTACAAAAGATGTTGAAGCCTATATGAAACATCAAATTCGTGATGCGCAGCAAAAAATGGCCAAAATAATGGCTTTTGAGCAACTTGATGAGGAAACAGGATTTTGGCTAAAAGATTTTTGTCAAAAAATATTGCCCGCTAAATTCCGTGAAGGCCAAAAAGAATATTTTGGGAAAAAAGTAATGACTCTACATGTTGATGTCTTCTTCTTCTATGAAAATGATCGAATGAAAAAAAAAGTGTATTTTACTGCTGTATATAGATGTGAGCAAAGCCTTGTTGATGTACTCTGTCTCGCTGATGTTGTTTTGGCCAAAGTTAAAAATGATTTTCCTTATTTAAAGAATCTTTATGCTAAGTCAGATAATGCATCATCTTATCATGGAAACTTCTACTTAGAAGCCCTTTACAATGTTTGCAAAGCAAAACAATTTTTCCTTAAAAGGTATGATTACAACGAGCCTTCGCGTGGAAAAGATCAATGTGATAGAGAGTCAGCAGGAGCGAAATGTGTCATTAGGAGTTTTGTTGACGCAGGAAACAATTTATTGACTGCAGAAGATCTTTATGAGGCTCTTCATAATGGTAAAGGAATTCAAAACGCTGATGTTGCTGTAGTTATAATAAATTCCAAAGCCTCTATTTTATCAGGATCAAATCTGATTCCCAACATAAGCAGTTATCATTCTTTTCAGTTTTTCCCTGATCACATGATAATGTGGAGATACTTCCGAATTGGTAAAGGTAAAAAATGGAACTATACAAATGTGACATTCCATACTTCAGTTGAAATTGTTAAGCTCTTTAGTTCGACTTGCAAAATTTATACTGCCCCAAAAATTTCCAAAAAACCACGTGTTGATAGAAGAGTTAACACTTTAAAGTTTTGTACACAATTTGGTTGCACTGATTCATTTTTTGACAATGAATCATTAGAAGTACACTTGTTATCAGAAAACCACAATTTTCAATCTGTGAAGAAATCAATGGTAGACAGAGCAAAACTATCTTATATCAACAAAATGAAAATTTCAAACCTAAATTCTTATGATTATCTGCCGTCATCCCAATCTGTCATTAAAGTGATTGAAAACTTCACAGACATCACTGGGTGGGCATTACCAAAAAGAAAAGTGTTCAGATATTCTTCAAAGCAGAAAACATTGTTAATGCAGATGTTTATGTCTGGAGAAGAACAAGGGAAAAAAAATGAGCCCAGAGCAGGTTCACCAGCAGCTGAGGACAAAGTTAAAGCCAAGTGAATATGTGACAACTCAACAAATTCGATCATTATTCTCTAGGCGAGTAAATTTACTTCTATATTTACTGATACCCAAAGTATGAATGATATAAAATTTAATTTTATTCTTTTCTTGAGTTTTAAGATAAATATTTTGAATTTACCTTCATGCTTCAAGTACATTTTTTTAGATGGAGTAAACAAAAAAGAGAAGGAAAGCTAGTTACCATTTTTTGTGAAGATGCTAATCTAACTGATGACATGATTGATCTGACTGATGATGCGAGACATACAAGTCAAAATAAAGATGATGATTTAAACAACGATATTCAGCTCATAGCAAAGGAGTTAGCAGCTGATTTTCAAATCGGTGATGGGGTTGCTATTGAATATATTGAATAATATGCTGTGGTATCCTGCAATAATTCAAAGTGTAAGACGTTATAACATCAAAATATTTAATTTTTGAGTATTAGATCTTTTTTATTAAGTTATATAATTGTTAATTTATTAACCACAACATTTAAATGTAAGATATATTTAGAAAGCACCAATGATTAGACGTTGTTTTACTTTTAACTTAACCCTGTAGGTCAATCGTGACAATGTTCATGTTTCTTGTATGGAATATTCTACTACACCTGGAAAAAACTGTTTCAAGTGACCAACCAAGGAAAATACTCTCAAATATTTATATCGTTATTTGACGTTATTATGACGTTATTTGTAAGATTGATGCACCAACACCAACTAATCAAAGAGGGGACTATTCTCTCTCAATAGACGATATGTATAACATAGAAATTCAGATTGACAGATAAACTTCTTTAAAACTTTATTTGGTTTGCTTTCTTGAACAAGTTGTATTTGAAAAAACGTTTATCCGAAATTTACATAATTGTTTTAACAATGATATAAACACTTCAAAGTGTGTGATGTTTAGATCTTTTTCTCATTAAAGAAGCTTAGAAAATAACTTTTATCAAGCTCTTTTATACAGTTTTTTGTTATAAAAATGTATTTTTTATTTATTTTTAATTAGAGTACTAATTATTAACGAATTATAGAAGCCGTTGCTAAGCATATCTATGTCGTTGCTAGGGTATTTTGTTGGTTAAGAATGTGGCAAAATTAGACTATTTCTAGGACTTCTCTAGGCTTTTTATCGCTTAAGCACATAAATTTTTTTTCAGATATTGGAAGATGCATGTATAAGGAAACGAAATAACTTATACATTTTATGGCAGACCTAAGGCCACGATTGTTATTTGTAATCTAACAAAGCGTATTAACCGCGAAAATTCATTTTTGGAAGCTTACTCTTTCCCAGGCTCTTGCATACTCATAATTTTTTTTCTATAAATTCAATGTATACCTTATTGGCTTTCAAAAGCAGTTAAGTAAATTATGTGCAAGTAATGGCCTTAGGAGATATAAATGGTCAAAGTACGGGTAAAATTTCAAATTTAGCGGTTTTGAACCGTGATTTCTAGACAATAAAAAATGTAAACATTTTGAATTTTTATTTTAACCAGAGAAATCCACTCAGAGTAGTAGAAATAAGAAAAATAAATGAGTTTCTCAAATTCATATTGCTAAAATTGCCCCTAAAAGTAGTAATTTTGTTCCATGCACCAATATTTTTACAAAATGGGCCAAATTTCAGCCCCCGATATCTCCGCAAATAATGGGAGTTTTCGAAAAAAAATTTAACTGTGGCCTAATTTCATTGTGTTTTATAAGATATCTGAAAATGAAGAGATTTTGAAGACATCACTTCCAGACTTTCCCGATTTTGCCTATATTTCTCAGATAATGGCTCTTAAGTGTTTCTAATTTCTTGACTAATATTTTTTAAATTAAAAAATAAGATGTAGTTAATTTTCAATTTATATACTTGTAATTATGCATTCAATTTTATATTTTCAAATAAAAATATCAAAAACTAAGTTTCTGTTTGTGCATGTGTGTGTGTTTTTGTATGTATTTTTTTTGTGTGTGTTAGTGTGCATGTATGTGTTTGTGCGAATGTAGTAATTAAATGCAAAATCTTATTAAAACCTTCTGAAGATACATTTGGTTATTTTTTTTATCTTAGTTTCGAAGGAGGTCAACTTGGCACTTATATTGCACTGAAATCTATTGCAGAGGAAATTGAGTCTTCTGGCAACGTTAATATATTTCGAACAATTTATACTTTACGTCAACAAAGACAAGGGATAATTCAAACCGAGGTAAATTTTTTTTCTATTTTTTTTTTCTTGAATTTTTTTTTTAAACTAAAAAGTTCATACAAAAGTTAATGCAAAAGAATATTTCTAATGATTTCACTTTATTAGGCTGATTATGCTTTAATATACGCATGTGCTTTGGAACTAACAAAAAGGCTTCAAAGAACCGGTGAAGTTATAGAAGACAGGAACACACTTTCAGTAAGAAATGAACAAAACGTTACTGACACACAAAGTACTTTTCTCTCATCAAACTCTCTAAAAAACTTTATCGGACATACAAATTCAGGTTTCAATAATGAAGAAGTTGTTTGTTCTAGCTAAGTTAGTTACCCTAACGAAGTTTTTTCTTATCACTGCTTGATCTAAAGAAGTTGATTGATCTGTTGAAGTCGCCAATACTGACGAGATTGTTTTTTTTTGTAATAACATTAAAAGTTATCGAAAATAACGATTGAATATTAACTAGGGTTACCAGATGTCCGGGTTTTATGAAGGAGAAGAAGAGTTCAATTCTTATAGGTTCGGTATTTTCCTCCGTAGAACCCGGATATCTGGCGACCCTAACATTAACGGAGTAAAAGTTTTTTAAGAATGTAGAATTTAATTATTTCATTCAACAAAATTATCAGCAGTAAATTGTGTTTATTGTTTTTGCTAGCTTTATGTCTCTAGTTTTATGTTATATCTTTTTTATATTTTTTATTTTTTTATTTACAACATTAATCTGTTCATTTAACAATAATAATTTCTATTTTGTCTCTTAAGAAGGAAGAGATTTTATTTTAACCAAACTCTACCCCCTACCAATTTTAAACAAACTTATATTAAGTTTTTAAATGATGAAATAATATTTTTATGATACCAATATGATGTTATGATAATACAAATATAAGCTTATGAGTCGTTATCTGTCCGTGTATTTTTTTTACGTGGGAGGGTGGGGGGTTAGTAGATAAAATTCTTTCTTTTATTAGGTCAATTTAAAAACCAATATCATATAAAAATTGATTTAGCAGCTTAACTATAATGGCGTCTTGAATGTTGTGTTAAACGTCTATTTATGCAATAATATATACAGGCTTATCTTTGCGTCATTCTGGCCCCCAAGTAAAATAATTCCTGTGGCCACTCGATTTGTGTTGATAGATATAATTAATTAAACCAAAGAATAAGCAAAGTTCAATCGGATCCTTTTATTTTACATTGATTCAAAATATCCCTGTAGTGTAGAATAAAATATTTACATTTTTAACGGATCCAATGTTTTGATATTGGTTACATTAAATTATTGAGTAAATAGATATCTTGAGTTGGCACTTAAAATTTTAAAGGCAAACAAGTCAAAATAATGGATTAGTTGAGTTCATTGTTAAAAAGATGCGTCTGATTTCAAATCATCGTAGAACAATCATGAACTTGGATTTTAAATCAACGTTAGAGGTTTAATGGATCATTTTAACAAAATTATCGATTTTATCTTCCACTTTGATTTCTTTATTTAAAAAATTTTAATTTGAAGAACAGACGTTTTTGGACATTATTAGGTCCGAGCTTACAAACATTTCAGATTAGCAATTGACCATTCAATTTTAAAGTTAAAAAAACTTTTCTCCTGTACAATTTGTAGCAGCGAAGACATTCTTAGAAAATTTAAATTTGAGTTTTTCGATTAAATTTTGGAATTTAAAAAATCAGTTTATTTTTTGCGGTAACAACTTTTTTCTAATTTGTTGTCATAAAACTATAATCAACCTCCCAACTAGAGTAACAAACAGAGTAATTACTCTTTTGCGTTAAGTGCTTGTTTTTTCTGTTTGTTACGTAACAAACAGAACTGCTCTATTATTGATAATATTATTATTTGATAACGACTTTCAAAAAGACATAATAAAATCCAATATATCAGACCGTTTCCCTATTTATTTTAGCACTTAACGCAAAATCTACCAATGAAATAAATATTTAATTTGCAGATTTATAAAAAAATTTATATAAACGCATATTTAACCATTATATTCATACAAAAAGAAAGGAAACAAATATTTTCAAAATGGAAGTCGTTCCATGAGGTATGCCCTAATTAAAAAACAAAGTCATTAATTATAAATGTTTTTTTTTAACTAACTTAATACGGAAATTTTTTTATAAAATTGTAAAATTTGCTTTAAAAATGAAGATAAGTTACGAATTACACAACATTACACTTTCATTTACACTGTGTTCGAGCCTATATAGTAATTTAACATTCAAATTCACCCACAAGTACCATCTCCACAAATACCAACTCCACAAGAACCAACTCCACTTTTGACCCGTGTTTTATATGACAGTTCCAAAATTTCGTTATTGAGACATTTGTACAACTTTAGTTATAACCGATGCCAAAAAGCATTAAAAAGAATATTAAAAGTAGAAAAGGACGGAAAACGCTTTCTCCTACACAGTGAGATGAATAACTTAAAAAAAAAACAGTGATTGCCATACCACTATTACCATTTTCTAAATTTCCAAAAATGATTGCATTCCCTTTTCTTTTTTTTCTTCTTGATTTACATTTAAAACTGAATTTTTGGTTAATTTTTAAGACATTATTAATATTTAATACATTAAGAAATTATTTTCATTAAAAAAGTTACTAACTTCTTAACTAAATTAAGAAAAAATTACATATAAATCAAAACACATTGTTTAACTACTTTAATGACATGCTTATTGGTTAGACGCAATGTGCACAATGAGTGGTTGGAGGCGATGTGCACTATGAATGGTTAGAGGCGATGTGCACAATGAGGTGGAATGCATATTTTTTTAATATCTAATACTATTGCAAGTTCAATTGCTTTAATTGATGACTTTGGTGACCATTTAAAAATAACAATAGCTTAAAAAGTCAATAAAGATCTCATAGAAAATATATTTAAAATGTTGAATCAAGTTTATCGTTTTAATATCATCTGTGAGAAATGGTTCTGCAATTGTAGTCCACTTTGAAGATTTGGGTTGTCTCAAAGACATTTTTGGAATATAGTGGTTCTGGATAGAATGCCTTTCTTCGATTTGTGATCGATAGTTAGAAGTAATTTTGTAATATTTTGGGACCAAATTATTTTTAATTCGAACATAAACTGAAGGATGCTTTTGTTGCTTTGGTCATAAATATTAGGAACTCTCAGTTCTTTCATTATTTGTTTAATACTAGCATATCGATTGTAAATATGCGGCATGCTGGCTTTATTATATACTATAACTTGCTACTTTATAACAGGTTTGTTTCAAGTTTTACATCAGTGTCACATTAACAATTAAAACAAATTTAAATGTTAACTGTAAACTAATAAATCTCTTTCAAAGCTAAAATCTAAAGTTTTGTAGCGCTTTTTGAGCACAATTTGCTTTTCTTTCAAAAGGTGCTCAAAAGATAGCTTAAAAATTTGCGCGATTCACTTAAGTGAATTTCAAGTACTTGAAAATTTTGGCTTTGACCTTAAAAATTTTGGCCTTCAAAAAAAAATACATAAAACTAAAGAAATAAAAGTTTTCATTCTTTATTTTTATGTATGTTTTTTTTTTTCGGCTTTCATATATATCTACAAATATATTTTCTTATTGACTTCGTTGAATTCTGCCCATAACCTTAGTTTATTTTTACAACATGTGGTTTTATAGCCACACCAATTTTTACCTACAGATTTGTTGTTTTGTTAGTATTTGTTAGTAATTTGTTAGCCTTAACGTAAGGCAAATATTTAAGTCTATGGTCTCGAAAATGTTTGTGTAGACCTTAGCCTTGAAACTCTTATTCTTAAAATGTGGTAGTGGTGCAGTGGTAGAGCGCTCGCTTCATAAACGAGTGATTCCGAGTTCGATCCCCACCACGTCCCTGGTAGTACCGCGCTCAACTCGCTTCTCCGCGCAGCGGCCTTGTTCGTGTTTTGGAGTTATAAAGTTGAGAGAGGGTTATAGCCACAAATAAATAGCTTGTTTGTCTGTAAGTTTCTACATGATGGTTCCAAAAGAAAAAAACGTAATAAATTAAATTATTTTAAAAGTACTGACATTAATCAATCAAAAAAATATATACTTTGTGGTCAAAGCATTGCGTATTTAATGATACATTGTTACAACTACACAACACTAAAAAAATATTATTGTTTATTGTCCATATTTAACTCTCCGAAACAAATATAAATATACAATTGCGAATTGTGAAATGTAATAGTTTACATTACTTTAATAAAACATTGTTTACATTCACATTATCAATAAAATATAATGACCAAACATTAAATACACATATTTGTTCAATATGTTAAATAAAATTAATCATTAAAACTTATTCAGGTCTTTTAAAGTTTAAAAACTTTCCATAACATCTTTATAAAATGGATATACCGCATTTTGCTAACAAGCTTTAATTGGATATACAGTATTTTGAAAATAAATGCAAAATTATTGACAAAAAAAATAAATTTTTCTATTAAATAATATTTTATTTATTAACATTATATAATATACTTTATGTATGTATACATTAAGAAGCAATAATTTTTCCAAATATACGAGACATGTTGGTGTGGCGAAAAAAGTCAATTATCTCAATACCACAAAAATGGATATACCGCATTTTGAAAATACGCTCTTCGTATATTGAAACTACAAAAATTGTTCTCAAAGTAGAGCTCTTGAAGGACGGTAGTTAACTTTTTGTCAGTCCTTCCTTCTGAGTTTAAATTTGAGTTATAATTAAAGATTTGTAAGTGTTTTTATTTGTAAATGGTTTCTTCAAACCTGTATAAGTCCTCTAAAGGTAAAAAAAGAAAAAAACGTAGATTGTGGTTTTTATACTACAGAGGGAAATCAAAATAAAGATTTTAAATATTCATCGTGTCAAACAATCGAACCATATTACAGAAGATTGGGTTAAAAAAAGACGTTAATAGCTCAGAGCCATGAAAAAAGGATATAATGATCAAAATAAAATTAAAGAGGGAGAGACATATGGTTATGGTCAATATTAAATAGTTTATTATTTTACAATAAAATATCAATATTTTACTTTTTAAAACTTGTTTTAGCTTTTTTGACACTATTTTTTTCTCTCTAAATTTCAATTTTTCAAAAAGAATAACTTTCTATAGAAAATAGCTAAATGAATAAAATTTTGCAGGATTAAAGATGAACGTATTAGAAATGTTTTCTATGAAGCAAAAAAAATATATATTTAATCATTTTTATCGTTTTTCAGTTTGGTTTAAAAAAATTCTGTTTAAAAAAATTCTGTTTAAAAGACAACATTCTAAATACATTAAAGAACATATGATCAAATTTTTAAACTGTTTTGACAATTTTTGAATTAGTTATATTAGATGAAAGAATAGGCAGTTTTAGGGTGAAAATAACACTAATTATGCGCATAATTTATGATGTCATCACTGTATCAGTTGTATTTTTTTTGTTCAATAATAAAAAAGAACTAATGATATTCTTTAATTTAATAAAAAAAAGTCTAATAATATTCTTTAATTTTTTGTTAAAAAAGTCGACTTTACCAGGGTACCACCTAAAGAGATGAGATTGGTGAGAAGTTCTTAGCAAACAATTCCGCTTTCTTTTTAGGTGAGGTAACAAAATCTGAA